GGCTAACGATAGCCTAACGATCTTATTGTCAGGTTTATGTTCTGTTAAGTGGACCGTTATTTTGTCTTTCTCTTCGGTTTACTTCACTTCCCGTTTCAACGTGTGTGTGTGTGTGTGTGTGTGTGTGTGTATATATATATATATATATATATATATATGTATGGCAGTAAAACCGCATACCGCGCTATTGATCCACTCAAAATTACCGCAAAGGAAATTCCCTCACCGCGACAGCCCTAGCGGTACATGCAGCTAATAACCTTCTAATAAGTATACAACATTTGCATCACTTGGTCTCAGGGTGAAAAGTGCCTTCGCAAACTCTGGAGGAACCTGTTAAAGGTTAAGAACACCTGCCCAAATGATATGAGAGTCATATTGAGCATGATGAAAGTACCTATTGAAATTACTCCAGCAAGGCAAAGCTCTCTGTGTGAAGAACTCAAATGCATACGTTTAACAGTTTTACTATTTTCATGTCTAACGAAGAACATAATATAATGACTTGATATGGGTTTTTGCCTTGTACGTTGATACAGAGTGATTTTATGTGTCAAATCCTCGTCTATAACACTCTTTTTCCTCTATTTCTCTGGTGGCCGGAGAATATGGAAGTGGGTCACGGTGTTCTGTTCGGCGTTCTCGCAATTACAGAGGTGAGGGAAGACTAATCCTGCTTTTATAACAGCTCGCCGTGAGAGGAAAATGTGGAGCAAATATCCAGATAAAACATCCAGACTGGCGGCCTTCAGTCATCAGCATACACTGACCCACATTAATATTAGTTAAAGAGCTCTGTTAGCGGGTTTTAGCTGTGAGATGAACCCATCAGGTACTGTTTAGAGTTTATACCATCTGTTTTATGTCAACTTTGTCTCCTGTCCTACACTCCCAGCTAAATAATTCCACACATCTTAGCTGTATGCTGGTTGAGGTTTTCCTTGTAACTGTTTAAAAAAGACTATTGAACTCGGACACAGTTTGAAGAACTGAATTTCCCAGGAATACTCTGGCTCCTGTGCCAATTTTTTACCACTATGGTACAGAGGAAAGGATCTGCATGACTTTAACAAGTGCTTGTAATATGGACGGGAGCACAGCATTCTGTCCCATGTACCAAATGTGTTAAACTAGTACAAAACACTTCATTTGGACCGTCCTGTTTCAGCAAACCAAGATAAAGGCACTGCTGGTACTCCATGTCCTTCACAATCACATTATACTTTACTTGTCACACCTCCAGCTCAAAAAGGGGTGACCAGAGGAAGTGACTCACGAAACGTGCATGGAGAGAATCCTGTTTACACACGCTAAATATATGGTGCTAAGGTGCTAAATATATGGGTAATTTAATATGCAAGTTTCCTGATGAATTTCAAAGCACATTCAGTGACGCTAAAACTAATCACGAGGCAGATAATGGAGGCTCAGCAGAAAAGCTGGTACACCAGGCCTAGTCCTGGCCCGGGTGGCACTGGGCGGGACTGAGAGCTCTGCCGGGTACAGGAGTGAGCTCTAATGGGATTTCTGCTCATTACGTAACAATGAACAGCCATTCTGAACTGCCTCATGCTTCATTCATCAGCTGCATGCAGGCTGCTGTTGATTTATGTTGCTCTGTTGCTTCACTTCAAAGAAATAATGAAGTATGCTTTCTGTTAAACCGAATGTAAGGTGCTCTCATTGAAACCTAAACTTTTATTAGAGGATCAATAAGACCGATTCATCAATTTATCCCAAAGTGGCACACTGGCATAGACATAACATAGTAGTCAGTGGTTAGAATATGTCAATGCACTGAAACAGCAAATGCAAAAAAGATGAATTTGCATTATATAAGCAGTGACCTGTCAGAATACTGATCCCTTATAAAGGGCGGTAAGTGCAATATTAAAGGGGTCATATGATGCGATTTCATTTTTTCCTTT